CATTCTTCTTTGATTCAACAATAATGCACCAAAAGGTTACAACAATATTCTGTAATTTACCATAACTACTTGCAGTACTGTAAATATTGAAGGTACTATAGGAGTATACTTGGAAGTATAATCATCACTGCTGCCACATTTACGGTTCTTTTTTTCTTCAACATAACTAATAAAAAAGGTAAAAGGTCAGAAAAAAGAATTTGCTCTATATCATATTTAGTTTTAAAATTTGATCTCATAACTGAAAACTGTATAATTTAACTTATATGTGGTATTTTATTTCTTCTAAAATCTATTTTTTTTCACAAAATTTTGTGCTTAGTAGTATAAATCCCTTCCTCAAATTTTTTGAAAAATAGTAACTGAAACGATCTTCAAGTAATACAGTTTGATTTTTTGTATATTAGAATAAAGCAGATTTTCATTTCCTTATATGGAAATCTGCTCCATAAATTTCCTGTTATCGGTAAATTACAGAAAAAACTATTTTATGACCTTTTTATTGTGAGCGAAAAATTTGATCCATTCTAATATTTTTTTAGTCTGTCCTTTTCATTATTTCAGTTATTCGATTTTGTATATCACTGCATTGTAAGTTTTGTTTTTAAGTACAATTTATTATCAATTTAAGTATTTTTTATGATAATATCTTTCTTAGAGTTTTTTAAGTTTGTTTAGAACAATTTTACTGCCAAATCAAACAAAAGTTCGGCAGCAATTATTTCTGAACTGTGAAATACTAATTGACTGGAGAAAAGTATTATCGTAAAAATAATTAAGTTGACAGTAAATTTGATTAATAATTCAAATACAGACAACTTTTTATTCTGCAAAATTATCTTTGTTGTTTTTTTTTACTTTTATATAATTTTATCTCCTTACTTAATTAATAGGAAATTTAATACTCATTATCAGTAATAATTAGCTGAGTTTTTCAAGTTCATAACTTTGTAAAACCTCTGCAATAACTAGTACTAGTAAGATAATTATCATTATCCATCTATTTCTGATCAATTTTTAGAGCAATATTTATTAGAATTTAATTTTTCATATGCAAAAATAATTTTCTTTTCGACTAATTGTTCATTTTTATTGAAATGTAATTCGCATTTGTAAAAAATAGAATACTTATTTGAAAAAATAAATGCAGGAAGTTCATTAAATTGCATATTAATTAAGTTAAAATGTTATTTACTAAGATTAAGCTATATAAGTCATGCGCACGTATGTTGAACGTTGTAAGCCGTAAATATACTATTACTTCTTTAATGTCATCTGTAGTAATATATAAGTAATAATAATTAATAATTATTATTGTAATTAGCAAAGCTATTATCAAAGTAATACTTTCAGTTTGATAAGATTTCACCTCGGCATAAATTGAAGCTAATTATGTGGCTTATACTGTTGTTCATCATTGTCGGCGTAGTGGTTGTGGTGTTGATATTCACTATTTCTAAAAGTATGATTATTCTTTTAATTTATGTCATCTGAATTCATTTTGACCTTTTAAATATTACTAGCTTGTGTGTCACAAGAAAAAAATCTTAATCGCATTAGCATACCAATGAAAAGTATATCAAATAGCATAACAGAAACAGGACTAATGAAAGTTGAAGTTAAAAATTTCAAAAATAAGATAGAGAAAAAATCGGAATACAGATTCGATCGATATGCAAATTCTCATTCTTAATGACAGGATAAAAGTAATGCTAGAACCTTGTTCATATTTTAGTGAAAAATACTTTACAATACTTTAATTAATCATTTAATCAGATTGTTTTACATTGCAACGTTACATTAAAGTAGTTGATAAATTAATTCCAGCAAATGTTTACAATATTTGACCCTACTTTATTGCATTTTAAGTACATTACAAGGTCAATTTTACAGTGCACTCTGTTTCTTCATCATCTTTGCATGTTCCACTTCGTTTAGAGGGTCATTTTCTGGTCATCGAAGGACCGTTACTTAAGTTTGATGGGAGATTACTACTAAAGAATTCTGAGCAATTCACTATACATGCAAATAAAATACAGCGACAAGTAAGTATGCATTCATTTAAATTTTATCAACTCGCTACATACTTTATCTATCCCAAATACTTACAAACTTTATTTCCTTTGTCTCTTATGAATTTCTGCGGATATTTCGAGTTTCTTCCCGAGAATCCCTCATTTAAAGAGTTTAATTTGCTGCATACTTCACAAGTAAAGCTAACTTTTATTAGATGAACTCAATCCCTTAATTAATTTAGTCGTTTAATAACTTTTTCACTACTTTTCAACTTGAATTTACTAATTAGATGACATTTCAGTTGAATGTTATCTATAGACAAAGTGAATATGAATTAGTATACAGTGGTTCGGAAGTGACACAATTCAGGTATCAGCTTTATTAATTAATGCCTTATTCTCCACACACATTTTTTATAATATCAAAAATAACTCTGTGATACTGTATGCATAAAGCACAAAAACAGTAATCCGTATTGATAATGAGATTAATTTTATCTACATTGCCATCCATATTTTATCATTACAATCATAATAATATCATCCATATTAGTATTTAAATTATTCACTATTTGACATTGTACGGTAATTTCACGCAAATAATTGCGTGAAATTTCAACTATCAAGATATTTCGTTAAATGAAATCTAACATTCATTATTGAATGATTTCTGTATGCTTAATTTTAGATTCGTACCAGCGATCCCAGCACTTGATGTCACTTTCATATTGAAAGTACGATCTGATGTAGACATAGATGTGATTAACTTTCTTGATGTTTTGAGAAATTATGTTAGAGCTCGAGGATTTGATGGAAACACCATTGATGACAAAAGTATCAGCCTAGAAATTAAACATTTTCCATGATGAATAGAATTCAAATTTTTTTACACTTTGGATTTCAATCAAGTTTTTTAAAGCTTGTAATGAATTTACGAACATATCACTAATTAGCCTGATTTTTGAAAAATGAACTAATTATTTTTGAAAATAGTTATTAGTAACAAAGTCACTTTCAGCAATAAGATATGCATTAGACTCAATTTACACCTTAGAATTATATCTGCAAAATACACAGTGGAAATTATTTTTGCAAAAATGAGTTCTATAAATCAATCTTTGTTTGAAAGGGAAGTTCACATAAGAGTGAATCCAAAATTTACGTTTACTTACTGTAGCATACATCATTTCCAATTACATTTAAAACTGATAGCATACAACTCAGGAAAGTCAATATTAATATTATATTCTACAATTATTGTCAGTTGCTGAACTCTATCAATTTGTAAATAAGTCACAGGTTTTAATGCCGAATATATAACACTTCTTCATAAGTAATACTTAAATGCAAAGCTCTTGAATGAATTAAAATTAAGCTATGACATCAAAAATTGATCCATTACTCGAACTATACTCGAACTCGCTCAGCTAAAAATATATCTCAAGAATACTTCAGTTCTCTATATTCCACTTTTATACATGAAAATATGTTCAATTAATTAAATCCTGCAACCAGATTTTGATAATTAAATTCCATATTGATAAACTTTATTACTTTCTTATTCCATCATTGTTTAGTCTAATATCTACGATCGTTGATATATTTTGCTAGTGATGCAAAAGATATCAATAATAGAAGTCAATAATATGAAATTACACAGCTAATAGTAGGTGAAGGAAAAAGCTAGGAATACAAGATCAAATTAGCTGAATACAACAAAGCCTTGTCTTGAAAAATTATGCACCAAATTTACATTAATGCTTGAAGTTCTGGTTTAGAAAAAAAAACGAATGATTTAAATCAGTCAATTTCTAATTCACTTCTTTCATTATTACTTCTCGTCTATTTAAATTGCAAAAAATTTAGCGCCTCAACGAATTTCGAATTTTTAAATATTGAAATATCTGGACTTGACTTTAGCATGAATGAGAATCAAAAATACAGTATGTAAATTACAACAAGCAAAACATGAAATATCTCGAACTACTGCAAGCTGTTTTGATTGCAAGTGAGCAAATGAAACAAAGTGAAGAGCAAGCATTCAACTGACTTACTGTTGAAGCGTTTTTATGGTAAAATGAAATGTAACAGCAAAACATAATAAAAAAATGCATAACAAAATTTGAGGCTATGATTGAGAATGAGCTCAAAGAAGATTTGATTTGATAGCTCATGAGTGGAAATCATCTTAATGACGATTAAGATTTCATTGTCGAGCCAAGAGAAATTTTCAAGTCACAAAAAAATACGTGAGATGCGTGAAGTAACCAACGAATTACAAGTGATAATATTGTGTGAATAAATTAAAAATAATTCAATGATACAGAACCCGTTCACTAACAGAACCAGCAAAAAAACATGTCACACAACTTGAAGCTTATTAATTTTGTGAAAATCAAATAAAGTCTAAAAAAACTTTTACAAAGTTCTACGAGCTATAAATATCAAACATAAAAACATTATTTTAGTGAGAAATACTCAATTTTGCACATGAATACTTCCGAACTTTCCCTTAAACATTTTAAAAGTTGCAGCAACTTAATGAAAACATTATCAGTACATTTTATCGATATCAGTGACATGTGAATTGCCTTTTTTATCTCAATGCAAACTTACAGAACACACTCTTCGAAAATTTCAGCTGATCACAAATACTGATGATTTGAGCGATGACAAACCACTACCACCGCATGATGTCATCATTCATGTGAATATAAATCAGATAAACACAATTTTTCTGACATAAGTTTATGACGCATCAAAAACATGATCATTATGATCACAGTTAGCTGCCTGAACTCTTAAACGAGCAAAATCTTCGAAAACGATATCTTCATCAACTTTTGCGCAGTCAATACTGAAATAAATTATGTAATAAATTTTTTGTTCACAATGGATGGTTTATAACTAATAAAATATAGTACTGAAAGATCCAATTTTATCACATATAGTATTAATATTATTATAAATTTTAGTGTAAAATAATGCGTGCTTTATTAAAGAAACTTGTTATTAATATATCCATTATTGAAATATCACAATAAATTTGATATTATTAATTTTGCATTAAATCACTACTGATCAAACTTACGTCTCAAGTTGTATAAGATCAATATCAAGTCCATCTTTTGGAGATTGCATTTTTTGTGGCTCCTAAAAACACACTTTTCATAAAAATGAAATTTCAAACAGTCTAATCATACAAATTTCAGTAAACTTTTCAATAAATACCAATAAAAAATAAAATATTGACTCACAAATCCCGATACAGAGTCTTCTGGAGGTTTTGGATGCGTCAAAGTGAAGGGAAGTTCGGCAGTTAATTCTCCTCCAAGGGGCCCACTCATACTTATACGTACTTTTACTTTATACTGCACAATAATTCCAAGACTGTCCTTTTTTGTGTCTGGAGTCAAGCTTCAAAAATAAAAAATACTGAGTATAACAACCATGTGGAGACGATATGACATAAAATTTTAGAGCCAAGATTTTATAGCATTTGAATACTTTTCGAAAACATTCCAAAAAACGAAATTTAAAATGGGAACTATAGATATTTCATAAAATGTGATAAGAAATTGTTACTTACGGCGTTGAAGATGCCAAATTAGTATCTTCATGTTTCAGCTGTCCATCCAGAGCAAGACCTCGTTTATCTTTATTGTTTGATAGTAATGGAGATAGAATATAAACTTTAGATAAAGTTGCACCCGGACCAACAGGAAAGCCTTCACTGAATGAGTTGAATGAATATTGTAAAAAAAGCATATAATTATACGTAATGAGGGTCTAGTGATCCAAAAATATGAATACATTTTTTCAGTTTATTGAGAGGAGCATTTTCGTCTACATGATATAGAGATCTATCACATTTGGAGCTATGATGATCAGCCACCCACATATAGAAAAAAACATACATGCAGTTGCAGAAAAATTAGTAAATAACAAACAGTTTTTTGCACCAAATTACCATGGCGGTATCATTTACATCAGCTCTCTCCGTAAATCAAACTACGACAAAAGAGTAGTGAGAAATATGAGTTTTAAAAATACTGACGTTGATTCAATTTTTGCAACCTCACACGTATATGAGGCAGTAGTAAAAAGACATATATCCGCGATCTGAGCAACACAAGCTTTAATTTTCTTCACTGTCTTATTACTATTGTTCTGAATATGTACATTGACAGCCACTAATTCCCCATGATAATACATCTGAAAATGAATTTAAAAAGTTCCACTGCATGAATATTTTAGATCAGAAAAATGACTGTGTATAAATTTAAAAAATTTAAAAGTATCAAGGTAAAAAGACCTTGGAACAAAACTATGTCCGTTATTTTGAATATTTCCGAAAAAAATAATCGAACACACCTCTTTGTCGAGTGATGCTTCCAGGTGTAACAAGCCCGGACTCATCATAAACTCCTTGGTTACTTCGATAGTTGGCTGAGGACGATTTTTGTATGGAGCATAAGTAAGTTTCCTTATAGCAAGACGAACACTACTACTGCAAATAATATTATATTGAACATTTTTCACTTTATTTAATTGAAAAATTGTGATAAGAACAACAAAAAGACCTTTAGATACAATAATTGATTTTTTAAAAAAGATACTGTTTTCTTGGTTTGTCGAGATTGCTACCTTCAGCGCATCCCACGATAGTTTTCAACTCAAAATCAACTCCACATGGCTTCCCTGTATCACCTTGTGCAGGCTGAAAAAACAGTTTGGTTCTAACGCTGGGAACAGCTTAAATCATGAAATTCCAGGTATTTACTTCGTAATATAGTATGTTTTTAACTTTAAAATTTCCATTTGTAATAATGATTGTTAAATGCAGAATTTTTGACAAAGACAAGAACCAAAAAAATATACAGGAAGAAACCTGCAAAGTAACACTTGATGCAGAATGGGCTGGAATTTGAAACCAAAACGGATATGCATTGGGTCCTAGCTTTTTCTTCAGTCTTTCTTGTAACCTCGTCAATGGCCGAAGATGTGAATTATCCACTGGATAAACCTTTAACAAACAGAACATAATCTATTCACTCGTACTTAACAATAAATGCTATATTGATTTCGTTTTCAGGGCTTTTTCTACGAAGTTGCTCCTCGAAAACACAGGAAACTATTATTCCATATTTTAAATAGCGGATTATTAATAGATAACTTTCAAATCTAACCTGGAAAATTTGTGAGATCAAGTCTTTTCTGAAAGTTAAACCCAGTACGTCCAAATCCTCACGACCATAACGAAATGCAGCCAATAGATAAGCTGTAACCGTTCTGTTCTCGTTAATATAAGCTTCATCAATTAAAACCATACCATCTAGAAAGCAAAAGAAATATAGTTTAGACTGTATGACACAAATTATACAGGGTACTTGATTCATAATAAATTATGTCGCACAAAGAAAAACAAACCAATTAAATCAACGAAATTTCCATGGTCGATAAAATCCCTTTTGCCCAAGTATGTAGTAATCTAAAAAAAATATTTAATTATGAGATATAATTGCTAAAACTCTGCCATAATATTTGAGCTTTTCATGTTTCTATATTTAATAATATTCTGATATATGTTTATAGAGATATAATGCAGCATATTTACCGCAACAAGAGCAAATCAAGTCTAGAATTAAAGTGACTCAAAATAATTATTAACATTTTATTAGACAATTCTAAAAACAAAACAAACCTTGCCGTTTGGACTTGTTTTCTTAAAAACTCTGAAACATAAAGCCATTTTATGTTGTTTAGTAAAATAATTACTTTGCAAAGCAAAAAAACAATCCTAAAGTATAAATCAGTCACGCAAAACACACCACACTGAAATTATTACGCAATAAATTACCTTGTCCCGCTTCTTTTTTCATCCATTTTGATGTCAGTTTGTGAATTGTAGTAGATGAAAAGCCAAAAACTAAAAGTAAAAAAAATTTAGTAAATTTATTCAAAAGCACAATTTAAAAGTTAAGAATAATTGATAAGGGATTTAAAAAGTTACATAAATAGATGCATTTGATTTGCACTAAACGGTAGCTTCTAAAAATATACAGTTGTAAGAACCCTTTGTCAACAAAATATTTTAAAAAAAAATTGAGATATTAAAAGCTTCGCCAAGTGAGAGAATTCAAATTTATCAAATTTTAACTTTCCAAAAAAGAATTAATTTATATAGAAACCTAATTTATACAAAATTTTAAGCGAATCTATATTAAATTATTAAAAATAATCAGCAATATTTCGAATTCTAGAAAACGCATCATCTACTTATCCTTCATAATTTTAGTACTTTTTTCTCCAGAAGAAAGGAAGAAATACTTTGAGAATCTTTACCGATCATCCTTTTTCAAAACAATAATCCAAGTGATGGACTAATTACAAAAATTAACCTATTTTCAAAAACAATATCTGTCATCATCTCATATTACTTCTTAATCGCAACTCGGATATCAACCACTAATTCAAACAAGACAAAAATTGCTTTTTACAATTACACTATCAACTTTCAATATCTGATAACAAGTTATTCTATCTTGATTCTTGTTATTAGTGTCTTTAATATGAATATTTTTAATCTCAATTCTAACTTGACCTTAATCATTTGTATCTTTTATTTTTTAAAAATTTTTAAAAACTTGACCTATTTTATTTTATCCCTTTTATAGATGCTAGCCTACAATGCTTTCTGAATTTTCATAGTTCTTAATTGAAATCTGAATTTTCATAGTTCTTAATAAAATCTGAATTTTCATAGTTCTTAATTAAAATCTGGATTTTCATAGTTCTTAATTAAAATCTGAATTTTCATAGTTCTTAATTAAATCTGTGCACTTTTCAAAAATAGACTGCAGTTTAATAAGAATTTTTTAATGCTCTGGTTTACACAAGCATAAGAAGCAAATAATAGCTAACATTAAAGTGCTGAAAAGTTTTTCAAAAATTTAATAAAATTAAACATTTTTGCTTTGTTTTTGTTGATTATTATTTATTTTTTTGATCTTATGAAAAGTAAATCTAATTTAATCATTTAACATGACAGATATTTTATTCTTTTATCTTATTTTTTGAAATTGAAATTCACAAATACCTTTCTTAATATCATTTTTGTAAAAACTTATTCTAACTTTCGGCATACTTTAGAATCAGAATAAAGCAATACAGATATTCTTTCTGCATTGTTTGAATTTGATTCTGAAGTAAGCAAACTAGTAATGATTCTACTAACTTCAGCCTCATACGTAACACAGAATCATAAATTGTGTAATATTTCAGTTTAAACTGATTTATGAAAGAGTTGTAAAATTAGTGTAATACGAGATATGCTATATTTGGTTAGTATGTCTCAAATATAACAAAGTTATTTGTAAAAATCGATAGGATGCAATTTCCATAATTTTTAAAAATTAGCTGCAAAATGTGGCAAACTTATTTTCTCCTTCATGAAATTGAAAAAGTAATTAAATTTACAAAAAATTACAATTTTCTGAAAAATTTAAGACTTAAGTTTCTTTTACTTTGAGTAAAATTTCATTTAGCTAAAGAGAATGTGTGATTAAAATAAAGGAAAGTAGAAAAACTGAGCTGAGTACTTAATGGAATTCACCGCTCTTATCAAAATTAGATTCCAAACGTAGATGAAATCATAATATGTTTTCCAGACTTAGACGAGGTATGACTTATTTCAAGCTTTTAACACAGATGCCAACCTCATTTATTGATAACAAAATATTTGATAAAAATTGGAAATAACATTACTTCTCTAAAATAGTAATAGCAAAAGCGTGTTGAATAAACATAAAGTTATCAAATTTTTCTTTGATAAAAAAATTTAAAAAAAAAAACAAAAATGAACAAGTACTATTTTTGAAATGTTAATTGGAAATGAGTTTAGCTTAAACATTAACTTTAAAAACAAATTTTGTAAAAAAATTTGATATATCCTCGAACTGACAAAAATTTGCATAGTTTTGATCTTAAACTTTCTCACAGATTGTTTCTAGCACAGAAATTAAGGCATTTACGGTTTACAATTATTATGTGATATATGAATGGCAAATATTATTGCTAGTTTTTGTAATTGATATTTTTCGTTTGTAGTGGAAAATTAGTTTACGTTAAAGGCTATTACTTATTGATTAAATTTGATCAGATAATTTTTCGATAACTTGACCTAAATTGATTTAAATATTTACGATATAAATGCTGCCTACAGCAACCATAAAATGCAAAACATTTCGATTAAAGTAAGCGAACCTAACTTTCGTTTAGCACTTTGCGTACTCTTACCTTTACGGGTTACTCTCTGGTTAATCGCATTACATCAAAAATAGTTCGGTTCACATTTGACAGATCAAAAAGCAAGCAAAATTCATAGTCATGAAAGTAGTAATTAAGGAGAGAGCACATAATGTTGGGTAAAAGTGGGAGGGAATGAGAAAAGTGTTAGGGATACGAGAAATCATCAAGACAGACAACGACTAACTTTCATTGCTACATTGACCTGCTTTCTGAATTCAATCAAGGATGACCTTCTTGCATACTGGGACCTTAAATATGACCAAATTAAGTGAGCCAGTTAGTACGCAGTTAAAATGAAGGCAAACAGTTAGTAAACATTTGGAATTGCAATTAAACTAGCTAGTCAGTACATCAACTGGGATCAAGTTAGGTAATTAGTGAAATGATTCGAATGCTGTTCGTACAGTGAACATCTGTTTGACGAGTAGCGACGGTAGCAAAGATTAAGAGGTTATATACTCCCTTGTATCCCTTGCAATTCAGCTTATCTGGGACGCTCCTACTCTGGTAGTAGCAGTCAGCTCGTGCAGTCATCATTTACATTTACCGTCTCGCCTATCTACACACATACATATGCTAGTACTCAACTCACGCACGCATACACGTAAGCACAGTTAAAAGTAAGCTACAAAATGAAAATTACTCGAGAAACTATTCTTCAGAAGTACAAGTCATTTAGCATTTGTGCACAGCTAGAAAGTGATTGATTATTCATCTATGTAGTTTGCACAATCATTGATCATTTATATATTTAAATGATAAAAGTCGTATACTACACTTTTTTCCACGTGTACTTACACTTATAAATAGAGAAGTGAACGTATTCAGATAGATAAGTTATTAATGATTAAAATGTAAGTACAAAATATGATCACGAATAAATTAGTCTCTTTTGGATTCTACCCCTGCATGATGCATGTTATGCAGATATTTTCAGAATTGATTTGCTGCGATAACTTTACTGCATGATTTAAATGAATCAAAAGTCCGAAACGAACTAGTAAAAAGTATTGGTCAGTTTTGAGGAATCACTTAGACTTACGTGACAGAATTTATAGCGTTTTGTAACTGTCACTGTCCATATTTTGTTATACTCTTTTGTAATGAATGAAAATGGAATAATTGTTCTGCCTTGAAAACTTTTCACAATTGGAAGTATATCTCAAATGCAATAAAATACTTTTTGATTTTTGAGAAGTAATCATTAATGAATGAAAAATTACACTTGCAAAGAATACGTTTTATGAATAAATACAAAAGAGTAAACAGTATTTCTAACTATTACTAATTTGTAAGTGATGTAGTTAGAAGTTTACAGAAAAGTAAGATTAATTTGTAGGATTGAAAGATTAGTCAAATGAAAGATTGCATCTCAAGACTTATCCACCAATGAGTATTTTCACAAGACTGATTTTTCTAAGGAAGCAAATTCTAAAGGTTAATTTTTTCTAAGAAGTATATTTCAAGACTGATTTTTCATACAAAAAAGTTGAAAAAAAAGATATTTGGGAACAAAATCCATCTATTATACTTTATCCTTACCGTAGTACTTTCATATTCCTTCTTGGACTTGGCATTTATATACTTTTTAATTTGTATCAGATTTTTTTCGCGTAATTAAGTGAATAATAATGTGTAATATTGTTGCTTAGCTACTTAGATATGATTAAGCGCGAATATTTAAATTTAGTATTAAAAATTGATTCTTTAATTTTAATAATTAACATGTAATATGTTATGTAAAAATGAGTGATAAATTTCATGGAAGCTAAAAATCTATAATTGTTACTTCTATGTCAACAAAGTAATTACTTTGAAAATAAAGATAAGACAAAAGATAAACTAATGTTAATATTATGCATCTAATGCTTACAAATGTAATAGAAAACAAAGTTCTGGCAAATTTGAATCTAAAATCACATTACTTCCTAGTCGTAACTCTAAGCTAGCAGTATTTACAACGTAATAAAATTCATTATGTCTAATTTGTAGTACATTTCAATGATCAATAAACTTTCTTAAAATCAGTCAAAAAGTTTTAATTACTTGTCGTACTAAATGATTATTTTCATTTTTGCGCCTTAATGATGTTTACTCATTCATTCTTGTATTCTGATATTTTATCTCATTAGTTTTTTAAAACAAAATTTGAATATCATTTCAAAAAAAAAAATGAAAAAATAATGAGAATGAGAACAGATTTGAAAATAAAAAGATTGTAAGTAGAATTTTTGATTGATTGAAAGGATATTTGGATGTATATAGCTTTAGCTTAAATAATTCTTTTTTGTGTGCAAAAAAAGGGGATTAGACATTAGTAAAAAAGAATGAAAAAGTTTATGAAAATGTTAAAAACAATTAATTTATCAAAAAAAAAAGAGGCAAAAGAAGCAACAGTTTTGATTATTTTCGTTATACTTAAATACAGCAAAGCATTGGTTATTTATTTTAAAAAAGGTGAAAAAATTGAAAAATTTAATATTTTTTGGAATTTTATCGTCAAAAAAAAAAAAGCTTATAATTGAATTTTTTCAAAAAATTTTATCGCTATTCATGAAGAAAATGTAATTTATATTTTCCTTTTGAGTTATTCATTTTGAGCACTTATTGTAATGGCAACAAATATTTTGAGAATAAAAGATGTTTTTAAACAATTTTGGTATGATTTAGCAAAAATAACTGAGAAAACGTAGTACTTATTTGAATGCTTTTTCATAAATATTTGTTCGCAGAGAGACTAGTTTGTTTTAAGTGCCAAATAATTTGCTATGAAAATTAAATATTTAAAAATTTTTTAAATCGAAACGAATTTGTGTTTGCTTTAAGCAAACATTCGTCAGCTCTTTAATCGTATGTAATTATGCTTACAATTTACAGCAAAAAATTAAGAAGTTAAGAAAATAAGTCAAATTTAAGAAGTCATTTTTTTAGAAAAAATTTGTAAAAAATTCAAAAATTTGTGAAAAATTCAAAAATTCAACGAAAAAAATATGAAGCACTGCGAATTATTCTCCCAAAAATAAATTTAAATTATCGAAAAAAAATTTTTTATGAATAATCAGTAATTAATTATTACTGTTAATAATCTATTGATTAATAATTATCATAATTAAAGTTTTTCAATAATTACCACATGAAAATAGTCTGAAATTTGATAACTTAAGTTACAACCTTTTCAATAAGTGTCAACTTGTTGCTATTTGCATTTTTTGTTTACTTAACAATAAAAAAATAAATAATTGCAAGAAGAATATTTCTTTTCGATTGCATAAATGAACGTAAAAATATTATGGCCTCCACATGTGGCTAATACTTATTGAAATTACAGATCAAAAAGTTGAAATTTAGTAGGAAATTTGAATTGCAAAGAGGGAAATTTGCGTTTTAAAAGTACTTATCTAATTTGCTGAATTGAAATAGTTCTCTGAATCAGATCAAGGTTTATTTACAAAATTTCAATTTCCTAATATTCTTTGTTATTAATCATTAACTATCTGAAGAGATATTTGTAAGGTAGAAATATACAATGTAAAGGTATTAAATTTATGAATTCAAATTTCTGAAAGTTATTTTAAAACAATTATTTAAAATTTAACTTTAAAAAAAATATATATATATAGTAAGCTTTGTTCGTATCATTTGTAAAATTTATTGGTCAAGAAATGAAAATTTTTGTGATGCATAAGAGTTTTTCAAAAAATACTCAGAATAATGCAAAAATACAAATATTATTTGAGGTTAAGAAAGTCAATACGTGTTCATGCATAACGTCAAAATTATAATTAGACGTAATTCTACTCTTGGCATATGTAATTACTGATAGATTTGTATGCTATAAAATGAATAATGAATAAAAATTGGTGTCATAAATAAAATTGAGTAATCTATGCGGTCGGATGGAGAAGAAGAACTAATGTAAACTTTTTGTTAGCGTAAAAGTAGAAAATTTTAGCATTTATTATCACTTTTAACTTCTACAGCTATA